TGGCAGACACTGGGGATTGAACCCAGTATCTTTTGGCTGGGAGTCAAACACCCTAAACAGCAGAGTAACTGTAACTAACTGAACTTTTAGTCATGATACAATGTACAATGCACCTATGCTCTTGACCTGTGGATAAGTATGCTCCTTGCTCAACCGGCTGGGTCAATTTTGTGATCTCTTGTTTGAGAGTCATAATAGTTTCCTTGGCTCTGATGTGCTGATGTGGTAATCCACATCCCCATCTCTTGCATTACAGGACAGCACCGCTTTGGTTTCACAGCAACGTAAAACCGGGGAAAATCCACCTTTCTATTCCTGCAGCAACTCAGCTCTCATGACTCTGGCAATTTCTGAGCAGAGACTTCTCCTTTGGCGAGACTTGGTTGGACTCAATACCAAACAGACCGGATCAAACAAAAGATGAAAGACAAATGTTTTATTTCACTGTAGGGATCATGTCCATAATGTTGCCAGACACTTATAATACCAATCTGAGCCTGTCAGTGGCCAAACAAGCACTTTTAGAGGACCGGAATTGACAGGGCCGAATGCCCCATAGTTTTACATTGCTGCCTGTTTCGCGGCTGACAGCTGAAGCCTCAATACTGGACCCATTTTAAAAATTGTTGTCCACATTAGTCACCGAGACCCAAAATGATGGGAAAATAGTGTTTTTGGTAATTACGTATTTGATAAGATGTATCGTAAAATGACAAAAGCATGATTTTATTGCATTATTTATTATACAATATAACATGTAAAGGTACCCACAAAGATAGGACTACTGATGACCCAACAGTACCACGGTGGTATTTGGGTCTCTGTAAATGTTATAAGGAGTTCGGTCTAGACCTGCTCCATTTGAAGTGTCCTGAGATAACTTCTGTTATGAATTGGCATTATACAAATAAAATTGAATTGACGCTCGAGAATCAATGAATCTAGGTAAATTCACTGGCTTTGCATAATTAGGATATTCCAATAACTGTCTGTTTCCACACTCCTGTTTCTGCATGTTTTGCCCGTGGCAAAGGTGCAGTGTGCGGTGTGCTGAATGCAGTAATTCATTCACCTTGCTAGTAGCCTACAAAGCTTGCGTGACAGGCGATGCCTTTGTAAACATTAACCCTCTCTGACGTAGGCCTACGCATCCCCCAAAAGGCGCCTCACACCTGGGGGCTTGAACAGACGACATTGGGTTTCTATATCTTCGATGTATGGCAACATGACCAAATCAAATCAAATCAAGATGTATTGTTGACAAATATGCATTTTTGTCTGTGCAAAAATACCCATTAACAAATATATGCTTCATTGTATTTCTTTCTCTTTCTCTTTCTCTCTTTCTCCCTCTGATAAAGAGATCACAAAGACACACACACACATACACACACACACACACACACACTTGCAAGCGCACACACACACACACACACACACACACGACACACAATTTATCAGTAGCTGGAAGCTCAATTTCTGAGAAATATGGGCCCTAATGGGAGATATTACACACATATTACACACTGGGATGAACACTTACTGCCCTGACTGCCACGTGTGCTGTCCTCACCACAGATTAGGCCTATCGGCGTCACACCACTTGACCTGCCCTAGCCTACACTTTGCACACTTCGTCTGTTATCACAATGATGACATGCATTTGTGGTTTTTGCGGTTGCTTTTAGATTAAGAAAAAAAAAAAGTCATGCACACTGCTGCTGCTGCTGCTTCCTGTCTCCCTGGAGGTACCCCACGTGAATAAGGATAATAACGGACTAACCCGCTGCCTGTACCCCATGCTTGGCCATCATTCACACCACACGCATCATCCACACATCCCCCCCAAACGTTAATGATACCTTTAAAACGAAATCAAAAACTCCCCCCCCATGAATGAACAGCAGCGGAGGGGTTAAAATGAGGGGGGAAGACAGGCAGCCAATGGCCGTCAGGGGCGGACAGGAACAGCTGGGGGAGTTGTCCGCTCTGGAGGGATGCGATTGGGCTTCCTCAAAAAAGGACAGACACACGTTTTTACTTTGTAATCCCCCCCCCGCCCCGCCCCCCCCCCCCTCCACTCCTCCCTCCTCCTCCCTCCTTCCTTCCTCCCTTCCCACCACCACCACCGCCACAGAAATAGAAAGGACGTGGACGTGTATCCATCTACAGCCCCTTTGATAAGCGGGAGGATAACGTTGGTTACCATCGCAACGGGGCATTTTAGGAGGACCGAAGAAGAAGAAGAAGTAGAAGCAGAAGAAGAAGAAGAACACGAAGAAGAAGAGGTTGGAGGAGGTGGTGTTACATCAGCGAAAGAAACTTTCAACACCACCCCCCCACACAGCCCACCTCCACACGTACACACGTACACACACACACACACACACACACACACACACACACCCATTGAACCCATACTGGTTGGAGTAGCACCGGTAGCACCAGTAGCATAAGTAGCTAGCTAGGTGGAGGAGCGCCATATCTGAGATTCAGACCCAGTGCGACATCTCCACCGGCCGGGTAATAAAGCGGACTTTGCGTGCTCGCTTGGCGGCTTAGTTAGCTTAGTAACGGACACACACACACACACACACACCACCACTGCGGCTATGGCACTGGACTTCGCCGCGGGTTGCTTTGGAGGTAAGTTAGTAACCCAGTAATAACCCAGTGCTAACCCCGGTACCGCTTACTAACCCCAGTACCGCTTACTAACCCCGCTTACTAACCCCAGTACCGCTTACTAACCCCCGTACCGCTTACTAACCCCGGTACCGCTTAGTAACCCCAGTACCGCTTAGTAACCCCAGTACCGCTTAGTAACCCCGGTACCGCTTACTAACCCCGGTACCGCTTACTAACCGCTTACTAACCCCGGTACCGCTTACTAACCCCAGTACCGCTTACTAACCGCAGTACCGCTTACTAACCGCTTACTAACCCCAGTACCGCTTACTAACCCCGGTACCGCTTACTAACCCCGGTACCGCTTACTAACCCCAGTACCACTTACTAACCCCAGTACCACTTAGTAACCCCAGTACCGCTTACTACCCCCAGTACCACTTAGCAACCCCAGTACCACTTACTAACCCCAGTACCACTTACTAACCCCAGTACCGCTTACCGGGTTAGCACCCGTTAACTGCAGCCGTTAGCTTTTTTTCGGTTAGCGTCACGCTCCGGTAGCATTTTTTTTTATGTCAGCACTGCCACGTCTAAACTACGTGCCGTGCCGTGCCGTGCCGTGCCGGTGGGTTTATATACATATATATATATATGTTTGCGTGTGTTGCTGGGTGCCATGGTGTTTAAGGGAGAGGACCCCACCTCTAGGTGTGGTGGACCCACACCCACATTCACATTCCTGCCTTGGGATACCTGGTGTGCAACATGGCGTTGGGTAATACCGTCTGCATACGTTGTGGTGGTTATTATGGGGCAATAGCTGCTCATGGACTGGAGAGCCATGGGCCTGAGATCAGCGGTCCTGGTGAGGGTCTGGTGAGGGTCTTGACAGGGGGGGGGGGGGGGGGTCCTCACTGTAGCCTCTGTACCACCGCATACACACCGTAGTCCCAGACCTGAATCCTGGGTTATAAGTCCCCTTACCCAACCATTGGGCTCAAGATGCTGCTATATATTTTTTGTGTGATGAACAATTCCCTTTGTTAACAAAGGGAAATACAACTGGCCTATAAAGTGTCAATCAAGTTGCTAGGCGGGTTTATTTGGTAATATACATACTGTTTAGTATGCATCCCAACCACTGATGCACCTCCATCATTAGTGTTAACTATTGGCATTTGTCTGTGGATCGACATGGTTGTCAGCAGTGTTCAGTTGTGTTATACATGCATAGTAATACTACTTTGTGAGGAATATACAGTTGCAGTCCCTGCAAAATGTTACCCTTAATAATAGTCTTAAGCATACATCATTGATGATTTAAAAACAATGCATGTTTTGTCAAGCTCTTTCAATGGATGAGTACTGTACTTTTCACAATCATGTTACTGTAAGGAGGCAGCTGGCTGCTAAATCTGTGTGTTTTATTGTTTTCCAGGCGCTGCTGGTGTTTTGGTTGGACATCCTTTTGATACAGTAAAGGTGGGTCACTGTTCGTAATCGTAATCTTGGATGTTGTTGAGCAACAGAAGAAGGCAGTAGTGCCCTAGGAGGCCTAAATCCATCACTAAGTGTTGACTGTCCATGTTTTAAAGCCATAACCCAGGATAACCATTGCATCTGTTTAAAAACAATGTACACTGGGGTATATGACATTGAACATTTATTCGTGAAATTTAACCAGAGTTAAATATAACAAACTCAGTAGATTCTTACAAATTGTACGTTTTGATTATTCCGGGTAAATCTGGATCCATTATCTCTGCCTCAACAGCTCTGCGCTGTGTGTGTGTGTGTGTGTGTGTGTGTGTGTGTGTGTGTGTGTGCGTGTGTGTGTGTGTGTGTGTGTGGGGCTGGGGGGGGGAGGCTGTCTTTAACAGCAACAGTGTTACTGTGTTGTAGATGAGAGAGAGACATAGACAGCCTCTCCACGGATATGTAACCTTGTAAGTATATCCAAGGCCTTCTCGCTTTCTCACACCATGTTCCCTCTCCAGTTTTAGTAGTAGAGGAAAAAACAAAAGAGCCAGAGAGTCGTCGTTGTGTCTTGTCATTCATCCATTTTGGTCAGTTGTTTTGTTTATTTCCTTGTTGCTTCCCCATACCTTATTTCCCCTCAAAGAGCCAATTTGAACGTACTGATACCTGGCACTGTGTATATTTCTACATGAATATTTGTTTTTCGAAGCAGTATTTCCTGATTTGGTGGTATGTGTGTGTGTGTGTGTGTGTGTTCTGTAGCTGTCACGTGATGCTCCTCTAGCTAGGGTATGTGAAGCCTGTCCCCGGTCATTTGTATTCTGCTATTAACGCATAGGCCTTTTATTTCAGGTGAGGCTCCAGGTTCAGAATGTGGACAAACCTCTGTACCGAGGCACCTACCACTGCTTCCAGTCCATCGTGCGCCAGGAGTCGGTAAGCAAACAAAACCACCGCC